TTACCGTGATGGAATAAATTACAGGTTATCACAATATAAACCTTAACTTTTTGGTAAAAGACAAAAAGTCCTTATTCTCCAAAATGTTGTATATGACTTAATAAATCATACAATATGATATATTATGTTACTTGCTAATGAAAATTAATTATATCCTAGAAATAAATAATTCCCAATTTAATTATAAGAGTTTTATTGAATATTTATTAAAATCAATTTCTAATCAATAATCGATTGTATCAATCTATTGTTAGCGTGAGACATTAGTATCATATGTTATTTACCATATCACTTTAATATGACTCTTGAGCATACAAGATCTTTCAGACATTGATGCCTTCAACCCACAAATATAGTCAGGAGACTCACCTGAATCAATATGTTAACTAAAATCTTGTGCAACACCTCCCCGATCACAAGTAACAGCTCTTACCGCGAAAAGATGGGTGCAAAACACCTCCTAACAATCTACACAAGGCAAACCTTAACTCTAACTTTTAAAAATAGAGATTGAACAAAATGTCAACCCATGTCAAAAGTCAACAGTCAAAGTGAATGGCAAGAGTTGACGTTAGCTGGCAACCACGTCATGGCCTTCATCTAGCTAACTTACGGGAAATTCCTAGTCGCCACGTCGTGGCAACCTATCGCCACGTTGTGGACTCTGGGTTTCCAACAACTTAACGAATTAAGCTGCTTGTTTTGATTCCAAGAGCTCCAAAGCTCAAATATGGTCCAAACTATGGTCAAATTGAATATAGTTTCCAACTTTATCCATTAAGACACCCAAAGAGATCAAGATCTCAAACCCTAGGTGTAAATAAAGATTAAATCCATAATGTCTTAACCATTAAGCCCTTAATCCAAAAATTACTTAACTCCAACTCTTCCGGAAGATAAAGGGGCATCAAATGTCCAATAAAATTGATTACTTGATGGGCGTGCATACCCCAAGCATGTCCTTAACTCAACATAGTTCAAATGGCAAGAAAATCGCCTAAAATCATGCAAATTTCACAAATCACAACCAAACTTCAGATACATAAGATATGATGCTCAAGGGACACTAGAGAGAAATAAAGTTGCCAACTTTATTCCATACCTTCACTCAAACCAACTCAATGAACCATATACAGACCAAAACAACCGAGATCTAAGATAATAACTCTAAAAGGTAGAGACTTAAACATTTACAATTGGTCCAGAAGGTGATAACCAAGTTGAGAAGGTGTTGCTTGATTGATCCTTGCACCAGTTCTTCCCCACTTCCTTCCAACAGCACCAAAACCACCCCAAATGAGCCAAAACCACCAAGAGGGAAAGGGTTAGGGTTTCTCTGAGGTTATGGGGGATAGAGACTGAGAAATGAACCCTAGAATCGATTTAGAGGGGCTTAAATATGCAGAAAACCCTAAAAGAGTCATGGGCTTGGGCCTGATTAGCTGCCACTCTATGGCCTTCATTGGCCACATCGTGGTGGTCCAAAAATCACGCGGCCAATTAACCATTGTCACGTCGTGGCATAGAGTTTCCTTCAAAAGTCCATCTTAGGTGCTTACTACAATTTAGTTTAACCAAACCGGACATGGGTGTTACATTTTATGGGCTTACAAAACACATTGAAATTGCTTGTTACCTTTAACTGTCAACATGTGGTAGGTAAACTATTCATCTCATCTCAATCTCCATGTTTGATCAACTTATAGATACTACATCAATTATAGACGACACAAGCCGACCAAACCCGAACCAAACCCAAAATTAGCAAGTTGGCTTGAGATTTTCAGCCAATTTAACATGCTTAAGTCATTTATTTAAATAAGTTGGTTTTGATAAAAGTTATCAACCTGTTTTCGACCTACCATCCCATTTAACTCTAATATATATTTAATTTAATATTTCTTTTAATATTATCATGTATTAATAAATGTATTAATTTATAGATTATAATGTTGTATTTATTGATGTTTAAAAAATACAATCCTAATTTTCATTCTTTTTCTTTGCATCGACAATACTAATTAATTTTCAAAATCGTTTTGAAATTAAACATTTTTAATGTTATTTGAACATTTTATATGTATTTTTGAATTAGGATTCTGCTTTTGTCATTCTATAAAACTTTATTTACATTGAAACTAATTTAATTGGTGAAATCTTTTGTTATTTTTTTTTCATTTTAAATGGGTCAACCCAACTTTAACCAATTTATATAGTAGGTTGGGTTGGGAACTACATAAATAGGTGAACCCAGTAATAACTCATTTATCTAAAAGGTTGGGTTGGTTGGAAATGTCAAACCATTTAAATAAATATGTCGGGTTGTGTTGAAAACTTCAATTGAATTAATAAATGAGTTGAACTCAAACCTAACCCACGTCGAATCATTGTCATCTCTAATTTTCATGCCACAATTGCAAATACATTTCAACTTTTGGTTTTCGAACTATAGTGTTAGCATACATTTTTGTATCTTTGCACAACTTTCTATTTGAGGACATTTAGAATATTTTCATTATGTGTAGAGTTCGAAATCTGATAAAAAAAGACTTGTGTGTCTGTGATGGAATCTCATTGTTCGAATGTTCATGAAAATATTACAGAGAGAACAGTTGTTGAGTATATGTCGGTTTAACTTTTTGAAATGTAAATCGTTCACAGGCATATAGAAAAGAGTTAAGGTGTGTTTGGGAGTGTTTTTTAATCTCACAAGCGCATTGCGTAAAAGTGCTTATTAGCTTATGACTTTTGAAAAAGAAGTTTTTATAAAGTGTTCGTGATAGGTTTTGTGGTAGGAAAAGCTAAAAATTCAATAAGTTGGTTTTAAAAAATATTTGGCTTAGTTTTACATATGTAAAAAATGATAGGAAAAACTAAAAATCTAAAATGTCATCAAAAAGTTAGGGTTTTATACATTTTTTAAACTCTCTTATTTTGTCTATGTGAAAAAATGTTTGAAAAGTACTTTTAAACAATGTAAATGTTTTTTTTTATTATATTTTTGAAAAGCTAATAAGTTAATAAGTTATTTTGGAAAATACTACTAAACATCCACTTAGAAATTAGATAAAACTGCAAAATTGGTCCTCATGGTATTCAAAAATCTTTAGATAGGGTCTAAAAAGTTTCTAACTTGCATCAAAGGTCTAAAATCAAAACGTTTTCGTGATTTACGTCTAAAAAAACTTGAAAAGACGATTATGCCCTTTTATTTTCTTTTTTGTATTTTTTATAATTATTTTAATATTGTTTTAACTAAAAAATAAGGAAAAATAAATCTCTCTCTCTCTCTCTCTCCCCTCCCTTCCTCCCTCCAGAAATCGTAGAAACCCATACCCAAAATTCAATCAACAAATTCAAATCCATAATTCTCTCTTTCGAGTTATTTGATATATCACAACTTTGTACAATTAGGATGGATCGATCTGTACATTCTAATCTAGCCTACCTCTCCTTACAAGTAATGCTTATAATTTCAGGTCTCTTTCTATCACAGTTGCAGTTGCAGGTTAGAAGCCAAAATAAAAAAAATGATATGCCCAGCTCCTACTATGAATCTGATTTTATAGGTTTGAGTGTTAAGAAAATGAGAAAAGTGGTTGTCTTCTTCCTCTCTACATGGTTTATGTATTGTAGTCGCAAGTGGGTAATGTAAAGAAAACGAGAACAATGAAATACCTACCCCACCACAAATCTTCATCTTCGCTCGTCTCTGCCTCCACTTCCACCTTCGCCTTCGCTGATTTCTTTTTCTCCACTTTCGTCGACCTCTTCTCTTCTCCGCCACAGATCGATAGAGTTGTGTTGGTTGAGTTGATTCATCGCCTTGGTTTTTACTGATGAAGTTGAATCCCCAAATAAAATCCAGAAGTTGAAGTAAAATCATAAAATGGTTGTCGCTTTAATCACTGAAGATGGAGCTAGGGAAGCTACGATGTCGTCGATTTAATGGTGGTGGTGGAGGAAATCAGAGAATTAGGTTTGTGATGGGGACATAGACAAAAGCTGTGAGAGAAAGATCAGATCGTGATAATGAAATTTGTCATGGTGTGTGACTCTGACCATGTGATTCATCATGGTGTTCTTCAAAGATAATGAAATCTAACAAAAACAACTCAGTAGTTCATGAATAAGATGAATTTAAGGAGTTGTCACTGAGAGAGCGAGAGCGAGAGAGAGAGAGAGAGAGAGAGAGAGAGAGAGAGAGAGAGAGAGAGAGAGAGAGAACGGTGGGTGGGTAGGATGAGGGATATATATATTTTTTTCTCTTTTTTTTTATTTTTTTAATTAAAATTGGACTAGAATAATTATAAAAAATACAAAAAAAGTAAAAGGGTATAATCGTCTTTTCGAGTTGTTTTTTTTTTTTTTTACCTAAATCACGGAAACATTTTAATTTTGGACCTTCGATGCTAGTTGGAAACTTTTGAACCCTATCAAAAAAAATTGAATACCACAGGGATCAATTTTGCAGTTTTGTCTAGAAATTAGGTTATATTGTTGGTGTGATATTTTGTGATAATAGTAGAAAATAAGTGTAGGTTCATTTAAGTAGTATAGTAACATGATTATGTGATTAGTTTGGTTTTAGAATGGGAAACACAATCATTTCTTACAATAATCTTAAACTATTTTTTTTTTTAATTCAAAAAAAGTTGAACCCTCAACTTTTAGCCGAGAATCTTTTTATCATTATTTCGGGGCGTTTTTAGCAAAACTAAGAGGTAACGGTAAGTTGATAGCTGATAGATGGTAGTGGTTTCTTATAAGCTACAGAAGATATCTTTTAGATTTGGAATATTTTATTTAAACTAAATTTTAATAGATTGTAGTTCCAACGGATGTTTTTTTATTCGAAACGCAGCGTTTTGTTAAACGCTTAGAAACTCCATACCAAACAACGTCCTTGATATTAGACAACTACAAACAAATACAATCATACTAAAAATTGCCTTTTTAGCTTATAACATCTTGACTCGCAAAACTCGTGCAACTCATGAGTTTGACGCCTCTAATTCTATATTTGTTCGGAAACAGAAAAAGTAAAAAGAGATAAATAGACCAAAGAAGTTTCAGATGACACGTTTCTTTCTCCCCCGGAAAACCACTATTTATTGCTTCTCTTCATTACAAACACTTTTCATTCTTCAAAACCTCATAATTCTTCCTTTGTTCTTCAGTATCCACCATAAATTTTGCATATTACACACACTAATTACACGCACATGGCACACACTTTTGTTCACAAAGACCAGATTGACCTCCCTCCAGGTTTCCGATTCCATCCAACAGACGAAGAACTTATATCTCACTACCTTTACCCAAAGGTTTCAAATATCAATTTCTCAGCTCTAGCGATTGGAGAAGTCGATTTGAACAAAGTCGAGCCATGGGAGCTTCCATGTATGTGCTCTGTTTCTTAAATTTTGATCTTCTCCTGTTTTGCTCTGACTTTTTCAATCTTTAAAATACTGAAAGTGAAATCGAATTCGTTTGATTTGTAGGGAGAGCAAACCTCGGTGAGCAAGAATGGTTCTTCTTCTGTGTTCGTGATCGAAAATACCCAACTGGATCAAGAACTAACCGAGCTACAAGTGCAGGGTATTGGAAAGCTACAGGGAAAGATAAAGAGATTTTCAAAGAGAAATCGCTCGTGGGTATGAAGAAAACACTTGTGTTTTATAAAGGAAGAGCTCCGAAAGGTGAAAAGACAGATTGGGTTATGCATGAATATCGATTAGATGGAAAGTTTTCAACGATTAATCTCCCAAAATCCTCTAAGGTTTTGATGACATGTACTCTGTTTTTCTTAAAGGGTTACTAAATGGTTCTTATTCTAAAATTGTTGTGTTTATGCTTTGTAGGGTGAATGGGTGATTAGTAGGGTTTTCTACAAGACTACAGGTGGGAAAAAGATTTCGATTTCAGCTTTATTGAGTATGAAGAATGGAAACACCTATGAACATGATTTCGGGTCTGCAGATTTGCCTCCATTAATGGAGATTTCAAGTGTGGAAGGAGGATCAAGAACCGAGACATCTCACGTGACCTGCTTCTCCAATTCCATGGAAGAACAAAAACCAAAGAACGAGGAAACAATGGGTAGTTGGAGCTCAGGGAATTCATTAATGGCGTCAAGAAGTGATAACGTTTGTTTCCTTTCAAATCAAATGGCCCCAAACGTTGAAAATTATCAGTATCAAGACACGACTTGGATGCAAGATCCATCGATCCTTAAAATCTTGCTTGAGGCCAACAATGATTCAAGTATACGACAGAATTTGAAAACTGAATTGGTGGATGATCAAGATTATGGTATGAATTTGGGTGTTCAAGTTGATCTTGATAACATATGGAATTATTGAGGATAAAGATTGAGGAATTCAGAAATTAGTGAAAACAAGGTAGAAAGATTTTAAAATGTTTGGATAATACATTTTAGGTTTAATTGTAATGATTTGATAGAATCAAAAAGTGGCTATACTATGTAACTCGTGAAATTAATCATGGGTTTTTATTGCTATTTAAGTTTATGTAATTTGTAGTTCAAGTAAATATATAATTTGTAGCTCACAAACAAATATACTAAATAAATGTTTTAAAAATAGTTTCCCTAATGTTTGTTAAAAAAGTAACAATTTATCTTGTTTTATAAAATAACAACTCATGGTGTTATAATATAACTTATATATAAAAAAGTTATGTTTACCATTAAAAGGAACAAATAAGTTGTCATATTTTATATTTTATTAGGACCAATAATGTATAACCAACATGGTTCTTATCATAGTTGATATTTTCTTTTTTTTGTTTTTTTTTTTCACACCCTAATGATTAAATAAAATTGAGATAAAAGTGATGTTAACTTTGTATTTTAAGTTTTCTTTCGAACTATCATTGTCTTAATTATTGAATGCATTTTAAGGGACACCCATTAATTTAAAATTGGTTTAATTAGTGTTGAAGACTAAAATTTGGCATTATCCTCTCGGTATCATGAATGTCAAATGTAATAAAAGAATTATATTGGTAGGCCAACAACCAAGGTTTTGATGGCCTCATACAAAATTGGATGACATAAGTTGAGAGTTGTGTAGTAACCAACTCCTTTTATATTATTAATACAAATTATAAATATCTTATAAGTTGAAAAAATAGAGCTATAATCGACTAATCATATTCGACCTTTAAAGTTAAAGAGAGTCCGGTAATCTTATTTTAGTAAATTAACTTTTTATAGCACTTTTTTTTTATTTATATTTCCCCTCTTTGATTACTTTACTCCTATATATTCAAAAAATCAAATGATTGCCTGTTTTTCAACCAATATTCGTAATCCATTGGACTATGTTATTGGGTTGATTCGACTTGCGTGACGGTCAACACAAGGCCTTTGTTTTTGACGATCTTTTGGTGCTTATGGAACTTTCATAACTCCACAATTTCCGGAGCATATATCCCTACGAAGTCCATTTTATTTGATGATATTATTGATATATAGTATTTTTAGATTTCTAATAGACCTAGCAAATCTATGTTTAGTTGGACCACTTGGACCCATAATCCAACTTTAGCCTCTTCTTTATTGTAATGGATTTTGTCTAGTTCCTTGCTAGTATTTTAGTAATATTTTCGGTCATTCCAAAAAAAAAGTTCGTAACTCATTATTACAACTTTCGGTTATACAAAGTAGAAGTATAAGAAATATTGTTGTTCTGAAAATAATAATAACAATACAATTTTAAAATTAGTTTTTGTTTTGGAAAATAGCACTTTTAGGATATCTTTTGAAAGCATTACATCGGTGTCATTAAGGTTTAAAATCGAATATTGGTGTAATGCTTTCTAAAAATATTTTGAAAATACCATTATACTCTTTGGGTTGGGCCCATTATTTTCTTTGGGTTGGTCCTACTATATAAGTTTTGATTGGGCCCGTTATACTCTTTAGGTTGGCCCTTTATGTATGATGTATCCATGTGGATAGTAGAGTAGGTAGGTCGGTGCTAGAGCCAATGACTTTGTGTGGATGTATTGTATGTATGATGAAATATGTGGTATATTGGGAAACTCACTAAGCTCTATGTTAACAATTGTGGATAATATGTTTTGTAGGTTTTTTGTGAGTAGAGCTGGGCAGAACTATACACACACATCAAAGATATTCATTTTTGTAACATCCATAAAATTCAAGCCAATTTAAAACTTTTTAAATCATTTAAAAACTAGTATTTATTACAAATTTGTTTTCAAAATGTTTTCATATCAGAGTATCCTAGAATCAAGTCATAAAAATGTAAGGAGGTGCCCGATCATGCCTTCGCCTTCCCCTGATCATCTGAAGTACGTGAAACAAAGTCCAAAACTGTAATCCCAAAGCTTAGTGAGTTTCCCCCAAAATACCAACGTCATACAATCATAATCATATCATATAAACGAACATCATGCATAATGAGAAATCTGTTGGATTAGTGTCTAAGTCAATAACTATTTTGGTATGTACTTGACCTGATTGTGCATGGTCCTTTTGGGTTGCCTTCACATTGGTGACTAGACAGGATGATTATTGAGGAGAGAGGCTGGTTTATTGTTAAGAATAATAAGTTAGGGTATAAATATGACTTTATATGAATAATATATTAATTTGGAATCATATTATTAATTAGTACTTAATCAGAAATTAATTTAGAATTAATTTTGGGATTAAAGGAATTGACTGAAAGTGCGGGGCTATTTTGTAATTATTCAATAGTTGATGCTTTGGGCCATTGGATTACCTTTATTAAGGCTTGAACAAAAATCCTAGAAGGATCTAGGAGTTTTCTTCCAAGGGCTTAAGGAAAGGAGTCCATGGACTTGCTTAGGCCCTTAGCTAAGGGATTAGGGTTTACACCTTGAAACCCTAGTTAGCCTTAAGTATAAATAGCACCCTAAAGCACTAAGATTTTATCCATGCTTTGGGAAACCCTAAAAGGGACGAATTCTAGGGAAAGATACCCTTCTCTCCTCTCTCCCATATTCATCGTTTCACCTAGTGTGTTTGTGAGCCATTAGAGATACTACACTTGTGGTACTTGCTTTCAAGAGCTAAGGAAATTCAAGGAACTAGTTGTTATTACTATATAATAACAAAAGGTATGTATTCTATTCTTCTATGTGGATTTCGAAAATAGTACTAGCATGCTAGGTTTCTTTTTGTGTTCATAAAGTTGTATAACTAATAGTGAAAACATAGATCCAACTCTAGGGTTGCATGCACACATAGGATTGTTTGTATAAAACCCATTAGTGGTATCATAGCCTTTGGTTTTTGTTTTCAATTATATTTGATACAAATTTATGAATATGACAATTAGGGTTTATAGCTAAACCCTGGAGGCTTGATTTTCGAAATTAGGGTTTCTAAACCCTAGATTTCGAAAATTTTGGTAAGATTTCCTAAACCTTTTTCTTTAGCCCCAAGATTTTGATTTTAGGGTTGCCTAACCCTAGAATTTCGAAATTGCCTCCTTCCCCCAAGATTAGATCCTAAATTTTAGGGATTTGAATAATGCCATATCTTGTAATTACCCTTTAAATATTTAAATTTAGTAATTAAAGATTTTGATTTATCCCATCCCATATTTTCAAATTCTAGGGGATTTAAGGATATCCTTACCAAAATAAAGGATAATTGTCAAATTAATTAGATAATCATTTCCTTATGTGATAAACTTGATTTATTTGAATTATTTGATAGATTATCTTGCAAGAAATTGAATTTGGTTATATTTAGATAATTACTAATTAATTGGTTAATTATTATTATTTGTAATTTGATCTAGAATGTTCTTGCTTATGTTTTGAAAAGTTTCAAAACTTGCCCTCAAGTTTTGTGTTTGATTAAAAAGTTTAATTTTGAAATGTTAAATTCTAAAACCCTAGTATTTTGAAAAAATTAAAATACATCGTATACTATATATAACATTAAAAGTCTAATATCATATATGTATAACTTAAACTACTAGTCTTACCGTTAGTAGGCCTCATTCACGAAGCCAATCTATAAGAGGGGGGTATAAGGTTATGGCCTATAAAATGGTTGTTTAATGGGTGTCCACTCTCACCCACCGCTTCCTTGATAGGTGGAGGGTCGTTAGCCGAACGGGTTGGATAGGGCAAACCCTTTCCATTAAAAGTATAATGAAGTATAAAGAAACTAAATGTTTTTACAAAATTCCCAATCTTAGTTAATTTAGACAAAAGTGAATTGATGCAATTCCATGAAATTACACTTTGTGCCCTTGCGAAGACGTTAGTGGAGCGTGTGTGGTTAACCGGCGCACTAAATGGTTCTAAGCAAATGTAGCAAAGGGTGGCTCAATGTTTGTCATAGTTCGGTGGAGCGTGTGTGGTTAACCGGCACATCGAATTGGTGACTATAACATTGGGGGCACCATGTAAGTTTGCATGGTTATTCACACCCTGTTTTGTGATCCTCGGCATCCCAGTTAGAAATCGAGGGGCATATCGAGATTTAAACATGCCATTGAAAAGTTCAATGAATCTCAAAGGATCTAGGAATTTTTCAATACATTTAAAACCTAATCTCTTTTTCATTTTTCATGGTGGAAAATTAGTGAATCGTCATTCACTTACCTTCAAATGTTTTCCAATTTGGGTTACGACATCCCTCTCCCAAGTTGTGGAATATTGTGTTGGGTCCTAGCCTTAGTATCTCATTTGGGTAATTTATTAAGGACTCAATCAATCAACTAACTTGAATTTTTTTTCTCCCGTTTTGTAGATGTCAAAGTATGACAACTATGGTCTTCCCAAATCCTGTAGAACAAGCTTTCCGCATGAAGATGATATTCCATGATATGATCGAGGAACAAGAGATCATGCTTCACTTCCTCCACCTCCTCCAATTGTTCTCCCTAACCCACAAGTTTGAATGCTTGAAAAGTTCAAGCTCACTCAAGCCCTTTTGGTAAGTAAACATGAAGATGGGAAACATGTGTGTATACACGTCTTAGAGATGGAGTCACACATTGAAAGGTTAAGGATGTTGGGTGTCAAGATTTCAGATAAGTTGACTATTGACTGGGTTCTTCAGTCACTTCCTAAATCATATAGTGAGTTTGTTAGAGAGTACTATATGATGGATCACGACGTGACCCTCATTGATCTCACATATTTGCTTATAGTTGTGAATCAACAATGATTTGGTGTGTTGGTTAAGCAAATTTGTATGGTGAATCAAACTCCCAAACTGTAATTGGCACTAGCAACATTGGAAGTCTAGAAAGAACTAAGTCTATGATTGTCCAATGTGTTGTGCCAAAGGAGTCCATTTGCTTTTATTGCCAAGAGAAGGGGCATT